ATTCTTTATTGTAAATAAAATGCCGCGACGCGTGAGAAATGGAGTAATTCGCAACAATATCTCACAGTTCTTCTTGCATATTATAACATCAGATGATTCAGTTTCATAGAAAATTATTTTCCAAGCGAAGTTGTCCAGAGTCGTAAAAATAATTTTCGTCGACGTTGCGCGAACGACAAAACGACGAAATTTTTAAGCGTGGCCAGACGTGTTTCGACGAATTATTTATGCACATATTTTCTAGATAAAGTCGATGTTCTTCTTGTAGATCCTGTGTATTATCGAATCGTTGGGTTTCGTAAAAAATTGATTGCAGGCAAAACTGTTAGGAAAGTGGAAATAATAATCTAGCATCGTGAACGTGGAATACGCTATCAGTCACGCCGAAACTCATTAGGCAGGTTAATCGGAACGAATACGACGTTTCGCGATGATGAACGATCGCATCGGCCGTCTCTTCGGCGACAAAATACAAGCAAGTATCGGTGTTTCTTCCCGAAAGCTAAACACTTGTTCGTGGTCGAACACATAATTGATTTCGCCTACCGAATTGATGGAATTTCGTTGAAATAAATCAACTCTCGCGCGACGATGCGTCCGACGGAATGATCTATGCCAGGCGAATAGGTAATTTGAAATTCGAAATTTGGAAGCCGGTTTTCTAATTTACTTCTTCGATTATGCAAAATATGGTGAATCGCTGCCAGCACTTTCTACGCAGACCCGACGGACTTTAAATATTCGCGTTGACGCGTACGTCGCTTAAACGTGGACAGCTTCCGAGAAACGAACGCGCTTGTGTTAGAAAATGTAAATATACGAAAGGGCTGCCGAGTCTCGTTGAATATTCTTTCGTTTCATTTTTTCGCGTCCGGCTGTATCAGCCTCGTTTGTGTCACAGACGTTGAATAGAATTATAGATTGTTCCCAAAGCCAATAAATCTGGTGCTCTCTGAATTTTTATCTAATTTCTTCCCTACCTAGATCATTGCCAGACTGCGAATTAATTCGGACGACGGAGCGTCTCTTCGAAACTGGTTATCCTGGAGTATTTTATTCGATCGGATTCAAATTGATAAGTCGAGTTGGATGGCATCGATCGTTTTCTCGATATCCGTTTACGTTTTACGGGTCCCAATTATATCGGAGAGATACGCGGTATAATAGATTGTCGCGGTAATTAATTTTCAAATCCGAGTAAATTATTCCGTCGACGCGGCGGTCGAAGCGTTTAAGATCGACGAAAGAGAAAAGGAGCCGCGAAAAAGGGCGAGGCAATTAGCAGCATCGAGTCGAATGCTCTAAGGCATTTTCGTGGTTTCCGTCGGATCTCAGAAACGAAGGTACGGCGGCAATCTGAAATATTCGTGACCGAGGAGAGACGATTACAATGGAGCGAACAATCTAGCAAGGAAATCGGAGAAACGTGCGCGAAGATCTCTTCTCGATGCGGGGACCTCTCGTGGATCGCTCGGCACGGAGATATATGTATACCTACGACAATAATGGTAAGGGCTCGTAATATAACCGTATTTGTGGCACAACCAGACCCGCAGTCTGGGATAAAATCTACGGTTTTTCCACGGTGGATGCGATTAAGATTCCAAACGTATGTCTACCTTGTGTTTCAATTCTCGGAATCGGTCTTGCCTCTCGCCTCTTTTTCTATCCGCGCGCAAGATAGAAAATCTCTTACATAAGGTCGGCATACACGCTCGGCTGTCCATAAATCCCCGTGATAATCGTATCGTTCATTAAAACGATACGTTCGCGTTGCCGGCCGATTAATAACCGATCCCATATTTTTACCGTCCTCGCGTCTGTCCCAATTACACCGCCAACAAATACATTTGTCGCGCAAAGGAAACCGGTATACGATCGTGGATCTTTACGGAGATCGGCGTCGACCGGTGCTCGAAATAGGAACAAAGTTCTCGGAACGAAAGGTTCGTTGGTCTAAAAATGAAGTAAAAATGTTATTCGATTTTTGCAAACGTGTAGAAACGTTCCTTTGCAATTACAGAAATTTCTCTCCAATTCACGCTCAGATTGTGCCCAAAAATGGACAATCTGGGAGGAAGACTTGCGTCTTGTTTTTATAGATTGTCAACAGCTATAAATAAATAAATAAATGCATAAAGTATCTATAATAATGTCTTCGTATCGTCGAATAAGTTCAAGATACGCTTGACGGTATCGGAACGTTCTGCCTAATTCGTGTAATTGCGGATACGCGAAATTTGCCAAGAATTTTAGATTATCGCGAAGCGATATCAATAAACTATATCATCGTAAACGCATCAAGCGTCGCACTGTCGCGCCGATTAAAAGCCATTTACCGATACACCCACTTACGGCAAGTCGGCCAATAAACGCGATCCCTGTTAATAATCAAGTATTTACGTACAATATATCAACCGTTTACTGCCCGGCCGTGCATTAACGACGAAGATCAGTCTGTCGAATTATAAAATCAATTTTTCATGTAGCTCGCCGAACGAATGCTCGCCGACCGGTATGCGCGAAATGATTTACGTAATCACCGGCGATTCCGGAGTTACCGAGTTTTTAATTGCTATTCATTTCTGACGTTAACATCGGCGCTCGCTTCTGGCTACGCGTTGAACCGAATTTCGGCATTTTTATTCGCGGAATAAAGATGTTTATTTATGGAAATTGGCATTTTCGCTTGCACGTTGCCGGAACGAACGTCGCTCCGCGAATTTACGGTTAATCGAGAAAATCGGTTCGAACGTCGCGCGCGCGCGTTCTGTTCTTACACGAGATCGCTGTGTAGAAGAAAAGTGGCGACAAGCGTCGCGTCGCGTTTTATGAAGCTCGATAACGAGAATCTAGCAGAGTGGCAGACTAAATCTGCCGTCTTTCTATCCGACCGGGATTATTGCGTTACGTGCTTCAACGCGATTCTACCAACGATTCGAGCTATCGTCGAGTCATCGAGTCATCGTCGTCCACGTGAGAACTGGGTCCCCTTTCGATTCGCTGCTTTCGGACGGCTTTTTTTCGACGATGGCTTTCTTCTGCTGTTTATCTTAACGACGGGACGTCGTGCAAAACAACGGAAATAGGTAACGCGATATTTTAACAGTTCTCCGCGTATTTAACGAATAAATAATGCGACAAAGACAAGCGACGCTAATTTTCGAAAATGTTTTTTGGTCGATATCTTGGAAGCGTGTCTTCCGTTTAATATTAAATTAATTGACGGAAATTAGTTTGAAGCCTTGTGCTATATAACAATGTCGAGAGCAACGAAAAATTTACGAAATTTCAAAATAGATTTCATATTTTCCTTTAATATCAAGTGGTATTCCTATTCAGACTTTCCTAATGTGTCTGACCCATCATCAGCCTCTTGCACTAATTAGCCTAATCCGAGCATGTTGCATAAATTACTCGATTCTTCGTCCGATACGTATCGCTTCGTTATCTCATTTTTTGTCACTCTACGCGACAAGTGCATGACAGAACATCCCCTCGGCGACGTTCCGACGACACGTTTCTGGAGACATCGATGCTTTCGAGTATCAATGGTATGCTCAGCATTAAAAAATTACCCACCGCCACGGTGGAAACAGGCGCGAACAACTTTTCTTCGATTCGATCGCGTGACTTGCGAAATTATCGTAACTTGGCGTCCGATGTAATCACGGGATAATTACTTTCCCAGTAAATTCAAGTTGCAATTGCAGACGGGTGAAGTCATCTTCGCTGTTCGACTAGTCAGCGTCGCCGGTATCAATGCGCTCGATACCGATGCGTCAGTAACCTAAATCGCCGCTTTTAGATATTAAACGGAATGCGAATACCGAACGCGGGATAATTTAGTGTTGCGAGAAGAACGTTGCTTAATTATGTTTCTACGTCGACGATGCTTCAATAATTTTTGGAATATTAACCCGTTGCACTCGAACGCGATAATGCCACATTAAAAAATGAAGATACGCATCGCTGTAATCCTGTAACAAATTCCATACGAACGAAGTAAATTCTCCGAGCGCAAAGGGTTAGTTAAACTGATCGTTTCAGATACATTTTTTCGACGTATCAAAAAATGCTCGAAACCGGAGGATCGTACCTTTCCGCGAATAATTGCCAAAGGGTTGACATGCGAGATCCGTGTAAATGTCTGGCAGTTTCGATGCCATTGAAAATGGGTACTTTGTATGTTTTACGGCCTTGTCCGTTTTTCAGGTAAGACGGCCCTTGTCGACTCGAGTCGAGCAAATTTTGACTCGAAAGTCCGTTACACGCGGTGTGAGAACGGATTGGTTATTTATGACCATTAAGGATTTTTCGGCCCACAGTTTGCGTGTCTTCCGCGGTTTTTTAGTCAGTCGTCTGTGAGCAGCTTACGAGTACCCTCGTTGTCTCTAAGCTCTCACGAGCAAGCCTGTATATTAGATCTTGTGTTTCCGTGTGTTCAATAAATATACTTTTACCTAAAACTCTGCCTT